CTTTTTATATTCATTATGCCAAATGAAGTGTTCAGTGTTACCAAATTTCACAACAGTAAAAGTAATCTTGGTCTGTGAAAATAAAATATGGCTTTATAAATAAGGAGTGGGCTGCCATTGTGTGGCCCCCAGGGAGCAGTCTCTTGGTCTCTGGCACCTAGAGACCCAGAGTGCAGGCTGTGGGGATCAAACCAGGTACTTGTAACCTTCTCAGAGCACAAGCGCACTGCTCTAATCCACTACAGGGGTCACCAACGTGATGCCCGCGGGCACCAAGGGGCCCTCAAGGACCACATGGGGTGCCCTCAGCATCTTATGAAAACAGAACAACTCACCAATGCACTAAGTTTGAAATGTTATTTTTTTGCTGCTGCTGTTATGTTTTATCATTAATAGAGCATTTCATCATATCAATAATTTAAAACATATAAGCATTTACAGGGATTATAAAATGACAATATCCAGAAGCAAATTAGAAATATAAAGAAACAATAGAAATATGTTTATTATCTATGAAGTTTAGGTGAACGCTGACTCCTCCAGTTCATATGTCAATATTAGTAGCCCATCCTGTGACTCAGTACCCATGAAGTAGCACTTATTCTTAAAAAGGTTGGTGACCTCTGCACTAGGCCAACAGTCCCCACATAACGATTAACATGTCTGTGCAAATTCTCTGTCATCTGGTTCACAGAAACCACAAGACAAGCTTAAATCTGAGGAACTGGACTTTGGTAATTTGATAATTTCATTAAGGATCCCCATTAGCTGTTGCCATGGCAAAAATCTAGCCTGCCTGGGGTCCAAATTAAAAACATACAACAAGACCTTAAGCCTGTCTTGTGAAACCCAGCAGTGACAGAATAAGCAAGTGAAAGTTGATAGTGACACTTTGCTCCTCAAGGCGATGGGTTAAATGCACAGAGCGTTGGCCTAGTGGTTAGAACAGTGCACTTGTGCTCTGAAAAGGTTACAAGTACCTGGTTCGATCCCTACTGCCTGCACACTGGCTCCCTGAGCAAGACCCATTAACCCCACACTGCTCCTCGGGCGCCACACAATGGCAGCCCACTGCTCCCCAAGGTGATGGGTTAAATGCAGAGTTAATTTCTCCAGTGTGAGATCAATAAAGTTACATTTCTAATTAAGGGTTAGTGGTTAGGTAGTTGGTTTGGACTAAACCACAGTGTTTCAAATTTTAACAAAACACTCTCTTGTTGGCTGCCAAGTTTGAAGGCTGCAGCTCTTTTGCCAACATAAAATACTAAATGCTGTGCTCTGTTTGACAGAAGAAACACTAAGAACGTATTGATTGAGACGACTGATTGTTTTGGTGAGTGACACTTAAATCCCAGGTGAAAATTGAGAATGTTTTGGTTATTTTTACTGTCAATATCTTACTTATTTCTCCTTTAAAGCAACTCAAAGCAAATTATGGAGCACGAGTGCATGTGGTCAATGACACACCTATGGAAATGACAGACCTAAAGCCCTACCCTGCTACTACACACATTCAAAAGGTTAGATTTCTCTTGTTCTGTTCTAATCGACCACAGTTTGTTGAAAAGTTTCTTATTCAATGATAATATAATGCCACGTTCAAAACATTGTAATTATAATTCTTATGTTGAAAAAAACTCAATAGTAATTGAATAGGAATAAATACGGAAGAGGATTAGGGCCACTGGAAAAAAAAAAAGTTAACTGATTTTAAAAATTTCAGTTTAACATGGGACAAAAGTCAGAATTCTGACTTT